TTTTACACCAAAGTGTACACGTGGTCTGCCTTGTGTTTATTTGTTTTTTATTTTTTTTTTTATTTGTGTGAAACCCAAACTGCCTAATTCCAAGGTGTGCGTATACAGAATGGTAAAGTCTGATTCCTGTATGGGTATTGGTGACTTACAACTTTCCTTAGTATGTAGACAATGTCAGTGCATCAAGCCTACCGTGAATACTGAACTCCCATGTTCAAAAATGTCTAATAGAAATGAGAATGACAGCTGCTATCATATAAATACATTTTTATACAAACTATATTAATATTTATGTAAATGTTAATAAAAATTATATCTATAATTTTTGTTTTCCCCTTTGTAAAAGGAAAAAAAAAAAAATCTGATGGCATTTTTGCAAACAGCAGGAATGGTGTGCTTAGTGCATTGACTCATAGAAACTAATTAGATTTAAATTTCTGTAGTCAGACTATTAAAAAGGTAAAATTAGTTTGGGTGTTGCAAGTTGCAGTTACTTTTTGTCTCATTACATCCTAAAAGCACTAGAGATCTTGTTTTAAGGGATTGTGTAAGGTTTTTGTACATATTTCCGGTCTTTATTATGTTCAGAACTAAAAAATAAGTATTTCTTTTTAGTCAGGGAATATGTAATATTGTATATGAATGTTTATTGTTCGCCACTTGCAGCTGCCATTTTAACCTACAACTGCAAGCTTTCTGACCAGTATTTTGATGCTATGTTGTGAATAGGAAGTGGAAAGTGGTTAGACTTCTATTCAGGTCTTTTCACAATACACACATGGCTGAATAATTTAGAAGCTGTACACACTCCCTTCTTTCTTGCTAGGTAATGCGAACCCTAGCCCTAAATGAAGAGCTAGCTTGAGCCCAACCCACTATATAAAAGTGAACATATCGCCATTGTTTAGTATATTGAACTCCCACAAAAGCTCAATAGACACCACAGAGTGCTTGTACAATCCTTAATTGCCCTGAAAATTCTGCTCATCCACCCTATAAACCCCTATGGCTTAGGTAGGTGGTGCTGGATTCCACATATAACAAAGCGCTTTATCATTTAAAGGCTGATTGGGCTGTCACTAGAGCCAATCTCCATGATATAAGGGGGACCCAATTCTGTTTAAGAAAGGAAATCTGAAAATAAGAATTGTTTACCACTGTTTCAAAATGGGCATGGGAAGTAAGGTTTTAGGGTTAAATAAGCCAGCCTAAGTAGATTAGCAATGCTAATTGTTTGTTTTCTGTTTTAGGTAAATTCCAGATTATTATTAACCGGACCTAGTGTGCTACCTGTGGATGAAGTCTGTTTTCTTTTACACAAAGGAGTGAAACATAGAAAAACATGCAAAAATCTAAACCAGCAATTTTACATATGCAATGGATTTTAAATATACCAAAAATCCAGCTATACAATATAACTTTTTTTTCACACTGTTTACCAAATATATATATGTGGGATGAGTCCAGGCTATGCATTTTTTTATGAAGAAATGGGGGTAAGTTAGGTTTCTGATATTACCTCCCAACCTTTTACAGTGTAAAATTTAGTTCATATTCACCCTGCTTCTAGTTCAAACTACTCTCCAAAATTTTCTGTAGCTATTCATAGTGTATTATGTCATACCTACTCTAAAATAAAACCCATGGACTCAGCTTACCTACTAAGAGCAGGTGCCCTCATGTGTCTGCTAGCTTGGATTCAAGGTGTCTTGATTTGCCCAAAATCAAAAACCACCTTTTTTTTTTCTTCGCAAATTTCCGTGATCTATATTTCACCCTCTCTTATCCCCTTGCCTTCTTAATGCCTGCAAATGTGATGAGCACATTCACAGGCCAGTGGAGAGGAAATAGTGAGTTGAGACAAATATCAAACACCCTGAAATTTGTGGGTATAATTTAAATAACATGCTCAGGGTTTATACAATACTAGGGCGTTTAGAAGATAAAATAAACGTGAGTAAACGCCTTGAGGTGCCTGCACTATGGGCAGTGAGCTACTTTTAAAGGTAAGGTTTAATTTTAAAGAGACTCTTGTCAGTTTTTTAAAACGTAAAATAAGTACCCTACAAAAGAAGAGCAATTATGTTCAGCTCTGTGGTGGCCCGTGTCTCCTACCATGCCACCATTTTAATGCTGCAGCATCTGTCAGTGTCTTTGGCAGTCGATCTTTCTGGGAGTTTCAATTGCCTGTATGTCCCATCATGTGCTCTGGCTCCTTCCACTAACCCCTATGTCGCTACTGAGTCCTGTGCTGATGTAGAGTTCAGCTGAAAGAGCCACAGAGCTGGCAGAAAAAAACACAGATATCTAACACTGTCATAAATGATGAATACCTAGGACACTGCTGGAGGCTGCTGTGCTGGAATGAAGAAGAAACTGGAGACACAGGTCACCAAAGAAGCAAATATATTTGCTCTTCTCTTGCGGGGTATTGAGAGTACAATTTTTTTTTTTTTGAGACAGACTGACAGAATCTTTGAGGTGCAAAATAAATTTTTGTGGAATAAACGGGTATCTCAAAATTGAAGTTCTAGCGAACCTTCCTGTTTGATCCTTATTCAAGCTGTATGATGCCTGTAAAAGCCTGTGACAATTGGATTTTGGCTTATATTTACTGCATTGTAAACTGGTTTTTAGTGATGGTATGTTGTCTGATCTAAACTACGAATTGGTCTGTAGCATGGATAAGCTCAGATGTGTTTGGACATAGGTCCAAATCTGACTGAGCTATCCTGCCAGGAAGGCGACAGAGGCATTCCCCACCCCACAGCTGCACATATACATGCCCTTTGTGTTTGTGCTGAGCATGCCTCTGCTGTCTGACTGTCCGCTTTGACAGTTTCCTGGTGGGATAGCTCAGGCAGATTCAGACTGGTGTCTCTAGTTATACCATTTGCACTGTTTTTTTTTTTGTTTTTTTTTTACACTTGCCAAGATTAGGTCACTTGGGAGGTATGCTGTAGTTACTGTTATTTTATTACTCTACCACAATTTGTGGAATAAATCACCTTAAAATACTGCCACATTGTACTATTCACCTGAAAGCAACAATCAATTTATTTGAAAGAGGAATGTAGGTGCTATATATAGCAGTGTTTTTTTTTGTTGTTTTTTTTATAACGGTATCTCTTTTGATCCAAGGTCAAAATCAGTGTGTAGCCTGTACATTTTAAGGTTTGTAATTCAATACCTTCCTACAAAAATCCGGACCTTGGGGATTTGTGTGATATTTATTTTGTTACCCAATCACAGCTTTGTGAAGCCCCATATGGCCTTTTAAGTCACTGCCAAGTTGTACAATGCATGTAAAAGCAACATACAGTTATTCCAATGTAAACTGTTTCATACGGTACATACTAGGGCAACTTGCCTGATTTACCTGTAATTAAACTGTTGGGTTCTACCATAAAGCTAAACTCCATACAGATCTTTAAAAAAAACATCAGAGCAATTCTATAAAAAGCACATGCATCTAACAGTTTGAATTTGACTTGGTTTCACCCCTTTTTAATCTTCTGTACAGCAGCTCTCAAACTGGGAGAGGGAGGGGAAACACCAAGAGCCAGTCAGACTGTGCTAATAAGCAACCTGCTGACAGGAGGAGAGAACAATGAAGCAGCAGCAGTTAGAGTGGACTTGATCACAACATTTCCTATATTATGGGAATATTTACAAATGTAGTTAATTTAATTTAGCAACTGCTTGAAAGAAATTTCCTTTTGTCTTAAATTTCTTATGAAAAGTTACAGTCCATTTCCTGGTAGGTGGGGGTGCCTAGTCACACCTGTGCTTACAGACATAGCTGTGCAGTATATCTGCTTGTGTGAGAAATAAGGTACTTCTGCCTCTGACAACTTGTCTGGAGATTTGGAGCAATGTCACTACTGTACTACGTTTTGCTGAACGTAACAGGAAGCAAAACCCTGCTTTCACCAAGACTGACACCTCTACACAAAAATACAGTGCAGAACAAGGCATGTTAAGTCCGTAATCGGGAAGAGATTAGCTGCAGAAAGCCCAATACTGGTTACTATATATTTGCCCTCTTCTTTTGGGCACTGCTTCTAGAATCACATTTTTCTATGAATCATGTTGCTGCTCCTTCACTTTTCATTTTTAGACTTTGGGGCAGGGAGGTGACCCACCCCTATTCCTGTACTAGAGTTGAGAAAATTGGAAGACCATCTTGATTGTGCTTCTCAGCAGGCCTGTGTAAATCTTAGGACTGGATGTATGAAAATGCAAATACTTTGGTAGATAAAACAGATCCTATATATTTATTTCAGTTGTATATTTAACAGTTTTTCTGGAGTTCAGCTTTAAAAAATGACTTTAGAGAATGTGTTTTTGAATTGTTCTGAGCACTGCATAACATCAGACTATTACTCTTAATTAAGCTGTGATTTATGTTTGGATAGTTTTGCACTGGTTTATGTCTTTCTAAATTCTCGTTTTTGTTAATAAATTTGAATTTATTATACAGATGATGTTTTTTTTGCTTTTTTTTTTTTAATCCGCATAAAACACACACACTTACGACTAAGGAGCAGGCAACATATACCTGTTTATCTGATGTAGTAGAACATGTTCCAATATGCCCTACCAAAAGGGATACACAGCCTCTTGCATGAAAAAATACAGACTGCTCAAAAGAACATTTCTCATTATATATCAAACCACAATTTAACTATGCATATAAAGACTAGACAGCTTCATGTTTTTTATGATCCAGATGACATAAATCCTTTGGTTCGTGGTACCCAAGATGGCCTTGAAGTCCACGGGTACCCACTGTGTCCCTAAATGCAGGGCCCCATTAACCTGCCATCACTTTTAATCCAATTCTGCTCGTAGTTCTTACATTTTTTTCAAACGTTTGCACACCCTGGTAGAAATTGTGCAGTTTTGGCATTGATATTGAAGGTATGACTTGTCATGCCAAAAACTGTCTTCATAGATGGTGATCATAGGAAGCCATTTATTATCACATAGTTGTTTGGCTCCTTTTTAAATATAATGATAACAGAAATCACCCAAATGGCCATGATCAAAAAAATTGCATACAGTTTACATACCCTGGAATGTTTGGCCTTGGTACAGACACACAAGGTGACACACACTGGTTAAAGTGGCAATTAAAGTGTTACTAAACCCACAACAGTAAAATCAGTCTGTATCAGGGGCGGACTGACAACTCATGGGGCCCCCGGGCAATAGGGGATCATGGGGCCCTTGTGTCCTTGCCCAAATTTCAAAAAAAAAAAGCCTATGAAAAGGGTACCAGGGACATCTCATGGGGCCCCCTACTGATCCCGGGCCCTAAGGCAGTGCCCGAGTTTCCAAATGGTCAGTCCGCCTCTGGTCTGTATATGCAGTAAAGCATGCTTGTTGTACTCACTGTGGAACCTAAGGAGTTAATCCTCTGCATTGTGTAAAAAGGCTGCTTGATCCTTTCTTCTGTGCCCCTCCTCTTGTTGAAATGTCCACCTGATACAGACTGAATTCCTAGTCTCATGCACATGCTCAGTTTAATGTGTATTGCTAGAGAGGTATTTTTTTTTTCTTGGGAAAGTGCATGTGATCAGCACAGGGTCAATCAGCACTGTCCAGACAGAGGGTCAGGGGTTTCACATCCTCCTAGAGCAGAAAGAAAACTACAAGCTTTAACCACTGCTCTGCTGATGTCACAAGACTGCTCTAACTGCTGGTGAGAGAATATTTAGCACTGTATATATTTACTAAAATAATTGCATTTCCATGTTTTGTGTACTGTGGGAGACCAAATATAGCGAATGCAGGAACTGGGTTTAGTAACACTTTAAAGGGTAATTTCCCGCATATGTAGCTCTTTAAATTGCAATTAGTCTTGTTAGAATTTCTATGAAGAGAAAAATTTATATTTTATCATAGCTCTCTAATTTTTTTACTATGGAAATTTGAAAGACTGGGTTTACGTGGACTCCTCTCTTAGTTAATGATACAATGCCTTAGAAGGACTGTTTGTTGAGATAAAGACACACAACTGATTACCAGTAAATACAACTGGATGACAGGGAACACTAAAATAAGCTGAAAGAGTTTCAATCAAAATAGACACCGTTTCCTTTCATATAAACAGGACAATCATTAAATAAACTATATTTCTGTTTTCACGAGAAACTCAGAAATCACAAACATGGGATTGTGGACAGGACAAACTTTATTTGCCCACACGAACCAAGATTAACATCCTGGGACAGTTTAACCACTTGCCCTTCAGAGGATTTACTCCCCCCCCCCCCCCCCCCTTCCTGACCAGGCCATGTTTTGAGATACGGCGCTGCATTACTTTAACTGACAATTGCGTGGTCATGCAACACTGTGCATAGATTAAATTTATGCCCTTTTCCCACAAATATAGCTTTCTTTAGGTGGTATTTGATCACCTGTGTGGTTTTTATTTTTTTGCACTATAAACAAAAAAAGACCGACGGTTCTGAAAAAAAAAAATATATATTTGACTTTTTGCTATAAAACATATCCAGTAAAACATTTTTTACAAATCAAAGTTTGTCATAAATTTAGGCCAAAATGTATTCAGCTACATGTCTTTGCTAAAAAAAAATCCCAATACATGTAAATTAATTGTTTAATGTGAAAGTTATAGCGCCTACAAATGGCAGTATATATACTGGAAATGTAATTTTAATTTTTTTATACTAATGACGGCGATCAGCGATTTATTGCGGGACTGCAGCGGGCATTCTGACACTTGGTGGAGACTAACTGCCGCTGACATCTCAATGACACTAATACAGTGAACAGTGCTAATAAAAAGCACTGACACTGGGCAGGAAGAGGTTAACATCTGGGTCGATCAAAGGGTTAACTGTGTGTGTTTTACTTCGGAAACATGCTGCTTTGTATTTCTCAAAACAGTTCTTCCACTCACTCATGTTTTCTTTAAAATGGTACATGCTGTATATCTCCAAGGGTATGCAAACATTTGAGCTCAACTGTATATACCAAACATCACAGGCGTACTTTGCTGATGTGAGTCCTGGGGCTGTCACCTCAAGAGTTTCTCCATGGGACTCATCCTTTCTTTCCTGCAGTTGGGTCTGGACCACTGTTTGGCTCTTAATATCATCAAGGGTCAGGTTGCTGTCATTTCCTTCCATAGACCATTGGCTTCCCACTCACAGATCAAGACCTTTGTGCAAAGGGTCTCATGTGGCTCCCCTAGCTCAATCTCCTATACCTCCGTGGAGTTTGAATTTTATCTTTTCTGTACATCTGTGCGAGTCCAATGTACAGATCAGAATGCAGATAGACTGCATTCTGATCCATGAAACTGACCTGCATGGATGTAAACTGGCATGTGCTTGATGATATGTCCAATCAGCTGCCTATAATTGATTTAAACAGACCGCCAGCATGAAACACCTGTGCATCCCGTGCAGGTAAAGACAGCCCTTCACATGGATGTATGGAGCGATATGGCCTAATGAATGAGGCTATAACCTGAAGGTTTAGGACTTCCTGTGTGTCTCAAAGGAGTCCAAGAAAATGATTTTCTGGTGAGTACAAAAATCCTTTTTTGTGTGTTTATATTTAATTTCAATGGGCCTGATTAAAGTGGTTCTAAGGGCAAAAGGTTCTTTCATGCATGTAGGTAAAAAAAATCTGGGTGCAGCTACCCCCTCAGTCCCTCTTATACTTACTTGAGCCACATCTCGATTCAGCGATGTACATGAGAGCCGTGGCTCTCCCGGAACTCTCCCTCATGATTGGCTCACACAGCATTGGGAGCCACAGGCTACTGCTGATATCAATCACAGCCAGTGAGCCAATGAGGAGAGAGCAGGGGGGGGGGGGGGGAGTCAGGACCAAGTCACGCTCTGTGTGTGAATGGACAATGTCCATTCACAGGAGCGTGGCTTGAGTGCCCCTATAGCAAGACGCTTGTTATTGGGGGCACTTGGCAGGGGGACCTAAAAAGAAGTTCAGGGCTGCTCTATGGGAAACTATACATTTAACTAGAGCAAGAAAGTAACATGTTTGTTGTTTTGTTTTTGTTTTTTTACATATAAGTTCACGTTTCGGAACATGTTACATGTTCCACCCTAAAAACGGTGGGGAAAAAAATGTAACATGTTCCCACTCCTGCAACATCTCCCCACTCCGCTGCATCTAGTGACAGCTAGTAGGGGATTTTCTCTTCCACTAGCTGTCACTATATATATATATATATATATATATATATATATATAAAACAACCGTGACCTCTGCACAGAATTCTGTGAAAGGAAAACTACAAGTACTGACATCCTTTGCAGCTGTCGGCTTGTAGTTCTCAATAAACTATCACGGCTCTGTTGAGCACTGTGGTAGTTCATTGATTCTTCCTGTCAGTGAGTAACTGCCTGCCCATACGACATATGAGCAGACAGATATACTGACAGGTCTGCAGGAGCCCTGCATGCTTTCTAGACTCCTAGTAAAAAAAATAAAAATAAATGCACTTATTCAATTACCTGCAAAAAGAAGTGCATTTATTATTTTTTAAGAAGGCGAACGTATTCTTTAACTTGTAGATTCACTTTAAACTCTCTATACTGGCAGGAGCTGGCGATTTAAATGGACTGTGATGCCCCAAGCCGCTAAGAAGGCTGATGATCATGTGGCACTATAATTGACTACACAATGCTGATGTCATCAAAAGCCCATCCTTCCAGCTCCTGACCATTAGTGCTTCATTGTGAGCTGTCTGTGACAGCTTGGTCACAGTTCTGGAGGATGACATTGCAGTGTGCCCCAGAACAAGACAATGACACATACACTATAATGCCAAAAATATTGGGACACCCCTCCAAATCATTGAATTCAGGTGTTCCAATCACCTCCATGGCCACAGGTGTATAAAATCAAGCACCTAGGCATGCAGACTGCTTCTACAAACATTTGTGAAAGAATGGGTTACTCTCAGGAGTCCATCCATGAAATTTCCTTGCTCTTAAATATTCCACAGTCAACCCTTAGTGGTATTATAACAAAGTGGAAGCATCTGGGAAAAACAGCAAATCAGCCACAAAGCAGCAGGCCACGTAAAATGACAGAGTGGGGTCAGCGCATGCTGAAGCGCACAGTGCACACGCCAACTGTCTGTAGAGTCAATAGCTAAAGACCTCCAAACTTCATGTGGCCTTCAGATTAGTACAACAGTGCATAGAGAGTTTCATGGAATGGGTTTCCATGGATAGCTGCTGCATCCAAGCCTTACATCACCAAGTGCAATGCAAAGCATCGGATGCAGTTGTGTAAAGCACGCCGCCACTGGACTCTAGAGCAGTGGAAATGTGTTCTCTGGAGTGATGAATCACGCTTCTCTGTCTGGCAATCCGATGGACGTGTCTGGGTTTCGCGGTTGCCAGGAGAACGGTACTTGCCTGACTGCATTGTGCCAAGTGTAAAGTTTGGTGGAGGAGGGATTATGGTGTGGGGTTGTTTTTCAATGGTTGGGCTTGGCCCCTTAGTTCCAGTAAAGGGAACTCTTAAGCATCAACCCAATAGAACGCCTTTGATGAATTAGAGTGGAGACAGTGAGCCAGGCCTTCTCATCTGACATCAGTTCCTGACCTTTTAAATGCACTTCTGGAAGAATGGTCAAACATTCCCATAGACACACTCCTAAACCTTGTGGACAGCCTTCCCAGAAGAGGTGAAGCTGTTATAGCTGCAAAGGGTGGGCCAACTCAGTATTTAACCCTATGGACTAAGACTGGGATGCCATTAAAGTTCATGTGTGTGTAAAGGCAGACGTCCCAATACTTTTGGCAATACAGTGTATATGTGGTGGATAAGCATTAAGGCCCACCTGCCTTGCCACTGCATGTATGTGTATAGCTGTTGTAAAAGGGGTTAAAGAGACTCCTGGTAAAGAGTAAAGTATAGGGTTATGTGGACTGGAGAACTGGGTTCCCAAGAAACCCGGACTTCTGCAGTACGGATTTATTGAGAGTATACAATGTGGGACCTCAACTGTCCATTTGGAAGTGTGTTGCATTTACACATTGTGCAGTTTGTTTTGAAATTTGGATGAATTTTTCATTCTTTGGAGGTTCGGATGTTTCCAAATGATAAAAGAAACTAATTTAAAACGAATCCGGAATAATGAAACAAAATTACATTTGCAGTTCAAATCGAATTTGAAAACCAAATTGAATTCGAAAGTAAGAATAGATAATAAAGGATTAGAATAGAAAAGAACTGAATATTATAGACAATAATACAGTAAAACAGAAAAGAAAATAAAGGAATAGAATGAAATAGAAAAGAATAGTGTAAAACTGAATAGAATAGAGTAAAACAATAGAATAGAAAA